CTGCAGAGCGCCGGGGTGCTTGCTGCTTTCTCCTCGGCATGCTGGTGCTGCCTCCGCCGCCGCCCTCCTCCTCCTCCTCCGCTGCAGCCGCTGGAGACTTTCCGCACAGGACTCCTCTTCCAAGCCCACTCTTCTCATGCAGAAACACACAAACACACACACACACAAATAAAAAAAGGGGGGGGGGGAGGAAGGGGAAAGGAGAGAGAGAACGGATTCAACTTCTAATTCCGCCGAGGAGGAGAGAAGGGAGAAATGGGAGAGGAGGAGGGAGGGGGGGAGGAAGAAAAAAAAGTTTGGCTGGGTTCTCTTCTTGGCTGGTTTGGGTCCCCCCTCCCCAGGTCAGCTCCCTGCGTTGCAAGCGGGGTATGGAGGGAGGGGGGTGGGGGGTGTGGGATGAGGCAAGCCACAGCCTGGTGACAGGGTTGCCAATTTCCGCCGCCACTCCAAAAACTTGCTCGGGAAATGTTTTCATTGACGAGGTTAATTTTCCGCGCTCTCGCTCTCTCCCTCTTTCTCTCTCCCCCTCTTTTAAGTTCCTTAAAAGACAAAGCTCTTCAGTCCTCGCAGCAGCAGGGAAGATGCAAGTGGAGAGATGTGGAAAATGAATAGATTGGATCAGTTCAATCTTCAGCCCAAATCCATACTCTCGCTTTCCTTCTTTCCCCCTTCTTTCTTTTTCTCCCCCCTCTCCTCCCTCCCTTAATCACTTCTTCTCGGTGCAGAACTGAGCAAGCAGCAGCGATGAGACGGTAAATTCAGTCACAAGATCAAAGAGTCTCAAAGCGCAACTTTCTCTCTCGCTGGCTTGTTTCAAGCTCGTGGATTTGTGTGTTGTTGTTGTTGGGTTTCTCTGGGTTTTTTTATTGCGCTGATAATAGTTTTTTCTTTGTGCACAAAACGAGGTCGATCCAGTCTCCTTCTGCTCCCAGCACTTAGTCTGACTTAGAGCAAGAAAGCAAATAATAAAAAGGAGTAAAGTCCCCATACATACATATACACCGGATGGGAAATATCAGTCACTCTTCCACCTTCCAGTCACAGATCAAACAGTGTCAGCACCGGAGAGGACTACTTTTCTGCCTTGCTCCCCCCTTTTTTTCCTCCACAGATCGCAGCTTCTTCTGATACTAAATTTAACGCAAACACATTTTATCATGGATTTTTGGTTGATCTTGATCTGCAACAGAAAAACAACATAAAAAAGCCAAAACCAAGAAAAAAACCCGGAGAGTGTGTGCAAAGGGGGAGAAAAGAACAGATATTCACTGGGTGGGAGAGATTAACGTGAACTGTTTCCCCCCCTTTAAACTCCTGGGAGAGAAAGAGATCCACTCTCCCTCTCTTCTCTTTTCACTGAAATGTAACACATTCAGATCCCAGAGCTTTCAGACAGTCTCAACTGATAGACAGACACATCGAGCTTGCTTTTCCTGCTTCAATTTTTTACTCCTCCTCCTCTTGCCAACGTCACCCTGACAATTACAAGTAGGTCTCACACAAACCCATACCTGTCAATCTTTTTAATTGCTTTGTTTTCATTTTTTTCCAGAGCTAAACAATATGACAAAAAAGAAGTCTTAATACAGCATAGCATAAAAGATTTCTCAAGTGAGGCACACATTGACGGTTTTGTTATTATAATCCACTTCCTAAAGTACTCTGCAAGACGCATGTGCTGATTTAACTTAAGCAGATGTCTAGTTCGGGCAAACTTAAAAAGCAAAAGATGCTACCTAGCTTTGACACACAAAAACATACCCTCCCCCTTGAATTTAGAATGATTTGTGTAAGATTACAGATCTCCCTTACTTTTAAACGCCAGCAGATTGCAAAGCAAGAACTGCAGCGTATGAAATGCTGCTAATAGACTTTGCATAGTTTGTCTAGGGATTCATATATTGCTAACTGCAAGAACAGACGGTGGTTCCCTTCCCCCCTTCATAATGCAAGAAAGAAAATTAAAACTACATTCTGATTCTTAAAGGTAAACACTTAAAGCTATACATTTGCATTCTTTAGGGCAAAAAGGTAATTTTATTGAATTAATATGCAATTAAGAAATAAATTGTGCATCATGAAATGATGGAGTTAATTCCAAGTGAGATATACATGAATTCTTCCTCCACTATTGCAAGAGCTCTCTTTAAATTAATTTCCACAATCATCAAGTTAGGCTGGCAGTTTTATCAAAACATTTACTTTAGTCCTTTGACCTCCCAGTTGGTTTTCTATAAATGCTCTCCCAAAAGTAATTCTACATTGCAGAAGTTAATTTTTTAAAAATTCCTCTCTTAAAGATACCGGGGAGCAGAAAAATATTTAGGCCATTTTTTTTATTTTGTAATGTCAAAGCTAAAAGGGAGAAGGAGCCACTTTTTAACTGTACTCGGGTTATAGAGGACTATAAACCCCAGGAGGCTGTAAAGTGCACTTCGTGCGTGTTTTCCGACTAGAAGGACATCAGCAGTACATTTCTCTTCATAGACATAACACACACACAAATCTGTAAGATGCTTTAAACCCTTTCATAAATCGCCGTGCTTTTATTCTCCCCAAATCTAAGTGCTATATCCACTAGTGGTTGCTAGCGGCTCTGGGTTGATTTGTACCACCTTGCGAGGAAGTGAACGTTTCGCACGGAAGGGGCGGTGCCTGTGTCAGCAGCCTGCAGCTCCCCAGCTGCTCCTAATAACAACATTAGAAGATTAGCTGCAACTTCTCTTTACTACTCTAACCTTATTGATCTGATAATATAGTCGTGTTTTCTTTCAACTTTTTTAAAGGGATCATCTCCGGCTTTTATAAACTAGGCGCATGGGGATGGGGATGCGGCACGGTTTTATATTTAAATGATTTTGAATTCCCTTCCTAAAATGCAGCATGCAAGCTAAAAACAAAACAAAAATTCTGAGCGGAAAATCTTGCAAACCTGTCTTTCACTGAACGTAAGAAAAGCCTGGTCGCGGTGATCAGATTTGGTTGCATTATAGAGAGGCAGGCGGGCATGTGTTTCTGTGTTGTTGCAGATCACACACAAAACACAGGCACCCACAGTTTTTGCTGCTGCAGCAGCTTTGCAGGCGGGACTGTGTTAGGGAGGGTGAACTTTGTTCCTGTTTCATGTTAGAGACGGTAAATGAAGATCAGCTCCAGGGGGATCATCTTGCTGGTGCTGCTGCTTCTCTGGTGTTTCCGTGTTGTGGAGGGGCTGGGCTGGGAGGACGGAGACAGGCTGCAGCTTGCTACATTAGACGTTATTTACATACACAAATAGCTATGTTCAGAGAGTGTCTCCTCTTGTGAATTCGGTGGTGGTGGGTTTTGCAACCTGTGCGAAGAACCCTCATCGCTGGACACCCCCAAAGGGGGTGCTGAGGGTGGGATAAGAGCGCTGAGGCTAGAAATGCGTTTTAATACAAAAAGCAGCGCTTTGCTGAGGTGCTGGGGGTCTCGGTTCTGGAGGAGTCGGCGGCAGCAGCAGTGTCCTCTGGAGGGTCCCTTCTGGTCCTGCTTTGGTGGTGCTCGGCCCCGGCCCATCTTGGACATGTCCTACTCCCGTCACTTTCTGGATTTCCAGGGCTCGTCTATTCCCAGCTCCATGAAGAAGCTGGTGGTGACTAAGCTGAACTCAAACTTCCGAGAGGCTGTTGCCCTGCGGCAGGACGCGCCTGTGCCACTCCCGGGAGATGGAGATCTTCTTGTCAGAAAAAGGTGAGCTCCCTTCCCCTCTCCAGCCCCCCCCCCCCCCCCCGCCCCTGCTCCCCCCCTTTTTTCCTCCCCCCCCCCCCCCCCCCCCCCCCCCCCCCCCCCCAGGTCTTCTCTTCACCTACTTTCTAGCTAACCCTGGGGTCTGAGCCCTTTTCCTGCCCAAACGCCCTCTGACTTCTCACCTCTTGTGGCCTTCTCTTGTCCTGTCATCCTATCAGGGTGTACCAGCTGCCATCTGGCGCCTGTGAATTTGATTTTTCTTGTTGTTTGTTTTGAAGGTCTGATGCCACAAACCTTTCCCCCCAGGCATTGGGGTGGCTACTTTCTAGCTAACCCTGGGGTCTGAGCCCTTTTCCTGCCCAAACGCCCTCTGACTTCTCACCTCTTGTGGCCTTCTCTTGTCCTGTCATCCTATCAGGGTGTACCAGCTGCCATCTGGCGCCTGTGAATTTGATTTTTCTTGTTGTTTGTTTTGAAGGTCTGATGCCACAAACCTTTCCCCCCAGGCATTGGGGTGGGTGGGATTTTTTGCATCTTTGGAGGTGCTGCTTTCTGTTTTGGTTTCTCCTTTCTTACCAATGCAGCTGATCAAGCAGTACTTATTCTCCTACCCGGGAGGAAGAACAGCCTCACAAATCACTGCTTTAGTAGCCGTTTGCAAGGGTGGGAAGGGCAGCATGATCTTAAACAGAACGCTGCACGTGAAGTAAGGGCTCGGGACTGCAAAACCAGAACATGATTTCTAAATCCTTCCCAAGTTTGTGTGTGTTACGTTTACCTAGTCACCAGCGTGTCTGTCTCCCTGTCTGACAATATAGAGCAATCTGTGTCTGTGTTATTTATAGCCACGGGCTGAGCGTGTAATTGTATATAGAGCATGCACCGACGATGGTTTTATGTGTGTGTTTCCCTGCGTGTCTGTGTTTTTCCCCTCTGTAGTTCTCCACGTCACTAACCTTTAGTGAGTATGAATCAACAGGAAGGCAAGAGGATCGCATCAGTCTGTCAATGCTACTTCTGCTTTCCCTGTCACCCGTCAACCATCTAGCCACTACTTCCATCCTCTTCCTCCTCCTGAAAAGCAAACAGTAACACCAGGAAAGGAGAAAGCATCTCGAAATTCCACAAGCTTTTAACAAACTCCATAAGCCTCTCCAACCTTTTAGAAAGTTTATTACCACTGCTAGTCTCCCTTGTGAAGTAGGCTTTCTAAATTGTTTGCTATTTTTACAACGAAACAGGGTCACACAGGGAGTAAAGCTGTGACATTTTGCTTAACATAATGTGCAGTAAATTGTGTGCTTGCTAGTACTGTCCGTTCAAGCTTTTTGGTCAGCTCCCAATAAAATGAAGACTGTGAGGACAAAGTGTACCTTTCCCCAAAAGGCTTTATAACCTATATATTTTCATTGGTTCCCGCCTAGAAGGAATCATTCCTTAAAACAAAAGTAGGGCTTTTTAAAAATCCAACTACCTCTGGTAGAAGCTGGAACTCTGGGAACCTTATGGAAGATTGTGTAGCTGTTTCTGTCAAGAGGGGAAAGGGTCAAAAGACTTGACTAAAACCTGCCCCTACATAGAACTGGTTGTTTAAAGACAGTGCATAATGAAATACACCAACAGTCCTGAGGTCAAAACTGGAAGTTTATTAACAGAAGTGCTTGTGTACCTTGTCTGTATCTAATCTCTGGAGTGTGTGTGGTTGGGGAAGGGGGGTCATAATGTACAAGAGAGAGACATGGACTTCTTACGTCTGAAAAAGCTTCATGCAAAACTTTAACTCGCTGCTGCCATCAACCTATAGGATTTTTCAACTAGAGAGCTCTAAAGCACTGACTTGCTGCATCTAATAAGGAGCGGCCCTAAAAACAATAATGGCATGAAACATGAATCAGTCTGGAGTTAAACTCCTTTTCTTGGAAGAGACCCGCCTGCCTTACAATGCAAACAGCTACAGAAAAATGTAGCAAGTCCCACTGCTGGTAGTTGGATATGTTAAGGTTGTTACGTCGTTGTTCTCTAATCCCCTCCCCCATACGCACTCTCCCTCTTTTCCTGTGAAATTTTAAAATGTATTCATGCCATTTATATTGTTTTCAGTATAACTCTTTCTTCTTCCCTCCCCCACCCCTCCTCGCTTGTGCCTGGGTGGGCTTCCTGGGTGCTAGAAAGACGTGCACGCCCCAGAGTGAAATCAGGAGCTGGTCCAGAGACTCATCCAGGCAGTTGCTTGTATTTGAACATACATCAGTTTATAAAAAGGGGTGGGAGTGGGGGAAAGTGATCGACTGAGGTGTGGAGTTAATATATTGTGTGTTGTTTAGAGTTGAGCGAAGTTTTTTCTTTGTTATTATTATTTGCTGAGGAATCTCACATCGCATGAGATTCCATTAGTACAAAAATAATGCACAGGATATATTCTCTGCGTGTACCTTCTAAGAGCTGCAGCAGAAAACAAGCCCTCTTTCCCGCTTTTGTACTATCCTGGGGAAGCTGTTTCTTATCCCAAAAAGACAAAATGTGTCCCTGGCTTTATTGATTCTTAAAACACATTTTACAATAGGTAGAAGTCTAAGGATTTTAAAAACAAAACAATAAATGACTTGCGTTTGAAGGGTGCATTTGCGAATTTGTTCATTTTAGTCTCAGTCACGCCCATGAACAGTATTAATTGCTTAGAGCTTTTTATGCAAAACAGCTCTCATTCACCACAGTAAAATCTGCTTTTAGATTTAGGGGAATACTGTGGAAAAGCGCTTTGGAGGTCCATGTATTTATTGCTTTTCAAATAAGATGCTTCTATTAAATGGAACTTTCCCCCCACTTTTTCTTTCGGTGGAAAAAGCATTCCATAGTTCTTAGCAGAAAAATCCATCATAGCTTTTACTCACAGAGAAATACTTTTAAACTAGAAATCGATTTAAAACAATAAACTTGCTCTTTCTAGTGGAGAAAGGAAAGCGAAGGGGAATAGAATCCTTAACGTAGCCATTTATGCTGCTTATGGTCATTTCTTCTATTTTCAAGAAGGGGAAGGTACCTCTGTTTTATGGCAGAAGAACGATCAAAAGAAAAAAGCCCAGGTTTCCCCTAAATTATGCGATGTTTTCAAGCCTTTTGTAAAAGAGTGACCGGTTATTTCGTTTCCCAAATATTTTTAACGATTTTCTGCGGAGGTGAAAGTTAATGGGGAGGGTGTTATTGAAATGGAAGGGGGAAGAGTTTTTGATTCATGGTTTGGCGGATCACGGTGGGAGGAGTAGGGGGATTATTTCGGCTGAGTGTTTGGGTTGAGAATTTGTTTTCTTCTGCGCTCCTAGTTTGGATTACCTTGTTTTGTCTCTGTGTTGAAGAGTCTTGTGCTGAATTTCGCTCACTTGCGTTTTGTTTGGGTGCGAGAAGCAGTATTTGCATCCCTCCTCGGGCACGTCTTGTTTTTATAATAAACAATACCAAGGGGTCAGCACCCTTCAGTGTAAATAAAGCGGGTGACTCGGGAGTGTGAGCAATTATTTTGGGGAAAGAAGCCCCGATCTCTGGTTCCGTGTCTCAGCTCTTCAGATTTTGAAAATAGTGAAAGATGGTGCCCTCACCAGACCTTCCTTAGTCAAATAGAAAAGACATTTTAAATTTGGAAATTAAACCAGGAGGATCACTTGAGAAGAATCTTGAAGGCACCCTGCAAAAGCAGAATGCACTTTTTTATACACACAACCCCCCCACCCCACCCGATACCCACCTCGTTTCGCGCTCTCACAAGTTTTCAAGTTGATCTTGAATTTATTTCTGCGTTTAAAATGAAAGGGTTTAAACGCCCGGGGCACAGAACACCATGTCCCCCACAGTACCTTGGAAAAGCAAGGTTAACAATAAAGGATTTAGATAAGATTTTGAATTCAGACGTTATGGTTTGATCGTTTTTTGGGTTGTGGGGTTTTTTTTTTTTTTTTGCATATGGGAAATTTAGGAAGAGTAAATTAAAAAAAAAAAACCCTACAGGCGCGAACACATGGGAGTTACACAAATATTGGTGGGTTGAGAAAAAGGAGTCGAGTGAGGAGTACTTTTAGCAAGCTTGGAGACTATATTGATTAATAATAATGATTCCCCTAGTCCAGAGAGAATCATTTCACATGGCAGAGGCAGCTTGGAAAACTGGAGGGGAGGGGTTGGGATGGTAAGAACAAATATTACAAGCAAGCCACTCACACATACACTAACTAGTTCTCATTTCTTTGTTTCTTCCTAATATTTTTTTTCCCTGGGGCTCCTAGCCCCGTTTGAATTGGAGGGGGGGGGGGGAAGCGATCGCGAACAAGAGGACAGTCTTTCAACTGTTTCTTACGCACAGGTCAGCCTGTGGGTATCTCCAAGCCCCCTTTCTTCCTCCTCTCATAGGCAGCCACCGAAGAGCTGCAGCCCCCCAGTTGAAATGGAAAGGCATCCGCATTTGCACATACAGACTTGCATGGGGGAGAGGGAGAAGAGCTGCAAGTGGCCAAGTGCTGGGGGAAGAAGTAGGGGTGCCGCAATGTAGAATAGGGGCTAGAGGGAGGGAGTGCTAAGATTAAATGAATGGCTTCAGAGAGATGTCCCAACTCTCTGGCCGACCTCTGAAGTCCCGCTGAGCAATCACACTCCTACTGGTGCCAGCACTGGCACGTTTTCCCTCTTACGGTTATCCTAAAAGGTGGAGAGGTGCAGGCAGGCACCAACTTCTGCTTCTGCACTGTTTCTTTCCCGAGATCTGCCATTGCATCCTTTCCCCCCCCCCCCCCCCCCCCACACACACACACACACATTCTCAGCTTCTGGTGGAGCCGGGAGAAGGGGAAGAGATGGGGGGTGATTTGCATTTTCTCCTGGTAAAAAGCAGCATGTTAAGGACACTTGTATACAAGACATCTGTTTAACTGCAGCACTCCCATTCCCTCCTCCCTTCACACACGAAGTTTCCAGCTTTAGAGGTCATTTACCTGCCTTGATCTGTCCCTTTCCATTTTAAGAAAGATGCTAAGTGAAAAGAAGATGGGACTGAAAAGGGTGGGGAGAAAGGTGTGTGCTTTTTTTTTTTAATTCCTCCCCTCTCTTGGGTTCATATAGGGGATGCCTGTTTCATATAAGTGCAAAAAATTAAAGGAGCACAAATAGGCTTTCTGCAGGGAGGGAGGTTCTCTCTGTGCCAGTCAAGGAAGCTAATTCAGAGGTAATTTGGCCCAGATTGCAGGAGAGGTGTAAATCCATGGGTTGAAAGTTACTGCTGTAGAAATAAGGGCGGGGAGGAAGGGAGATAGCCATCTCTCTGCTTTTAAACCTCACTGCTAAAAGTTATTTTTTAAAATCTAATGCAAAACAGTAGCACCAATTGTGCCTTAGTTTTTTGATCATTTTTCTCAAGTGTCCTGAAGAGACATATTTTGCTGTGGAAGCTGCTGCTTTTCTTAATGATGGGACATGGGAATTATGTAAATTAAAGGAGGATGGTAGTTTTTTTTAATCTATAAATAGGATGTAGACATTCTTTATTATATTTGAACACTGGATTAAATGCAGAAATAAGGAAAGCAACAAAAGCCACATTCTTCTTTTTCCACCTTGTGTAATATATATACAAATTGTACATATCTATACAATACACACTTTAATATAAAGTCTGAGAGTCTCCATAGTATAAAGAACTAAAAAAAATTTTAAAAGCAATATTTTCAGTTTCTCATTTCTTTGAGTACGATGTGTAAGCACTTCAAAATCTCACACACACAATTTGAAAATATTGCTAACTATTGCTATTAAAATTGCACGGTTTGCATACTTCTACAGCTTTTCATATGACGCCAACTTCTATAATCTTTAAGTTATCAGTTTCACCTGTAGTAAAAATCTGACATCCTTCTGCTGCATTTGCAAGCTTCTTGATGTTTCTAGTTAACAGACTCTCCTTGTCTTCCTCGTGTAGCAGGTATTTTTGTTATGAGCTATTTTAACATGAAAAAATATTGTTAGTAAAATATCTCCTGTGCAATTAAACTAGATCAAAATACCAAACTGTTATCTTCTACTGCTAATCAAGTTTAGAATGTGTGTGTCTTTTTTGAAAATATTGGCATTCTTTTTCACCTGTTAGAGGTCAGTTGGACTTCTAAAAATTGAATACAGAGTAGTTTCAGTCCCTCTGTACAAGGCTGTTTGCATGTTTTATGACTAATTTGTAAAAAGCAAATTATTTTAATGTTGAAATTAGCTCAAAGAGAAGGCATATTTCCTATAATCACAATAATTTTAAAACAAAAAAACTTGCCTTCAATAACATGTTATGATCTTGCAGATGACATTTATGCTTAATGTTATCGTTCATTGTTAACGGTATTATTCTAATCAGAAATGTAAATATGTTGCCAAAATAAATATATTTAGCACTTTGCACATATTTTATTCTACGGAGTTGTTTTTATATCATTTGTAGAGTGGTCAATTCATTTTAATTTTCCAGTCTGATACAAAATTATTTTTTTGGTTTGCTTATTTTGGTTAAAGCAGCCATGTGGAGAATGTCTTTTTATTTAAACATGTCTAACATTTCTACGATATTAGAAACATAAGGTAGAAAAGTCTGATTAAAATCACGTCTATGCTATGTATACAGACTTTTTTGAATAGTATGATGTGAACATTTTTTCTAATTACTGGTATATTTGAATATGTATTGTTACATCTTATCCAGTAAACCTAAGTGGATGTTTTATCGCAAGGTACTTGACAAAGAAAGCATGATAACAAATTTTTGTTTTCTTCTAGATTTATCGGCATTAATGCATCTGATATAAACTATTCAGCTGGTCGGTATGACACGTCAGTTAAACCCCCGTTTGATGTAGGTTTTGAAGGTATTGGTGATGTAGTAGCCTTAGGCCTGAGTGCTAGTGCCAGATACACAGTAGGCCAAGCTGTGGCCTATATGGCACCTGGTTCTTTTGCTGAATATACAGTTGTGCCTGCCAAACAAGCAGTTCTTCTACCCTCAGTGAAACCTGAGTTCCTTACTCTAATGTTAAGTGGCGCGACAGCATACATCAGTCTGAAGGAGCTTGGAGAACTGACTGAAGGCAAGAAGGTTTTGGTGACTGCAGCATCTGGAGGAACAGGCCAGTTTGCTGTGCAGCTTTCAAAGAAGGCAAAGTGCCATGTAATTGGAACTTGCTCCAGTGATGAAAAGGCTGATTTTCTGAAATCCATTGGCTGTGACCATCCCATCAACTATAAAACTGAAAATCTTGGTGCCGTTCTTAGAAGGGACTACCCAGAAGGTGTGGATGTAGTGTATGAATCTGTTGGTGGAAAGATGTTTGACTTGGCTGTCAACTCCTTGGCTACTAAAGGGCGACTGATAGTGATTGGGTTTATCTCTGGCTATCAAAATCCTACTGGCCTTCAGCCTATTAAAGCAGAGATGTTGCCAGCAAAACTACTGAAGAAATCTGCCAGCATCCAGGGTTTCTTCCTGAACCATTATCTTTCTGAATATAAAATGGCTATGCAGCATTTGCTCACTATGTGTGAAAGTGGAGAACTGGTTTGTGAGGTGGACCTTGGAGACATGTCTCCAGAGGGCAAGTTCACTGGCTTGGAGTCTGTATTCCGTGCTATAGATTATATGTACATGGGAAAAAACATTGGAAAAATTGTAGTTGAATTACCTAACTCTGTCAACAGTAAGCTGTAAAAACAGAACAATGATATTAATCAAAACAGAGAGAAAATAGGCACTTTATACCTCAGAATTACTGGAAACTATTTCTTTTTGAAAAAAAAACCTGAGTAAAGGGTAGTATATTAAAACGGTATTAAGTTGTTACGAAAAAGGTTGACTTAAAAAAGCTAAAAATTTAACCAGTGCCTGTTGCAAGGATTTAACAAGCCTGTGTTTGATTCTGTAACTTTTATAGTATTAGCGCTGCTCAGGCTAATACTAGATATGAACATTATTCTGGGCAATTAGAATAAGTGATGATGCAGAGGCTGATCCACCAGTTTCTTTGATAAGATTTTTAAATCCTTTTTGGAAACATTACATTTCATATGTGTCATGTCAGCTATTTTGATCCTCTGATTTAAAAACATCTTTTATTTTCAGCAAAATAAAACATTCTGTTTTTAACTCTTGACATTTCTGGGAAACCAAAGTTTAAAATTATTTTTTCTACTTTTTTTGTATTTCAAACTCAGTAATAATGTTATGGCTGTCCTGTGCAAGTTATTCAGAATTCACATGCAATTCTATACAGAAAATGTAGCCACTAGTTCTAACATGGCAGAAAAATGGGGGAGAAAAGGAGGGAACACTCACCATTTCTTTTAAATCACAGAGTTGGCAACTATAAGTAAGTCTGCAATTTTTATTCACATCTTTGTTCCATTTGGAACAGTCATCTTATCCGTTTGCTTTGGTGTTTATTATCTTTATTGTTTACCCTTCTTTCTCTCTATTAATCCCCAAGATGGGCTAACAGGACTTCAGTTCTAAATTGTGTTTCCATGTATTGAGATTCTTTATTTGTATCAACAATTTAATAAAATGCAGAAAGCTATCTCTGTGTTTGTCATATTTTTTCATATTGTTACACTTCCTGTAGCTTAACTCTTTCATAGAGGTGCAGTATATTTTAATATATTTAAAACAGTGATGAATATTTGGTACAACTTCTCATAGCCAAGTTAGTAGTAATATTTACTAATGCTACTACTTAGGCCTTATGGCAAAGAGCAAGGTCTTTTGTTTAAATTCTCTGTGCCCAATACACATCTCAAGTATAAATAAAAACATAACTGGGGAATAGTTTACACAGTGGGTTCAGTTAAAATGATTGTTCTGTTTTGAAAATTATTCATGGCTGAGGAGGTGTTTTTATACCTGTATATAAAATGGGAATTCAACCTATGGTAACAGTGAACCGTTTCCAAAATAGTGATGCTTTTAAACTGTACCTACTGTACATTTATTTTCATTACAGTAGTTACACTTTTAGGGCCTGACCTTGCTGCCTCCATGGAAGTCAGAGAATTTTAATGGACTTTGAGAGCACTGGCAGCTCACAGGATCGGGCGTCTGATGATAAACTTGCAGTTTTCTTGGATCATAAGGCCAGGCCCACATTAAATAGAAAAAAAATCTAGGTTTAATTTTACATCTTGGGCAATAATCAGGACTGGTTGTGCATACGGGATTTAGCTTTATTGAAAGTAATGTATGTTAGATAAAAGCTTCACTTATGCTGACATACCTGGAACTCATAGAAAAGTTAAATCATGTTTCATTTTATGATTTAAAAGTGCATTCCGACTGTAATTTGATAGTTTACCTCTGTTATTGCTGGTTTACGGATTAGTATCCAGCAAAAAATCTTTCCTTTTCTGCCATGTTTGAACGTCAGTATCAGTTCACCTGTTTGGGGGTTTTCAGAACAAGGTAGAGTGGTGTCAGTCTTTGCAGTTTAAAATTCTTTGCTTTTTCTTATGTTCAGGCAAGCTTAGATTATTCTATAGGGACATTCTAGGGTTTGTCAAGCCATGTAGCTTGCTACTAGCTAGTTACCATGGTAGTGTGGGTTTCTTGGTTTGTTTTTTATTATTACTATTTTGAAAAATTATTTTCATAACCAGAAAGTACATTAACATTTGGAGTTCCAGCTTGATGACAGAAAAGCCCTCAAATCCTTACAAGATCAGTTAGAGAGTACTAATGTGACAGGTTTTTACTCCAATATATCTGGTCCCTTATAGTGTTTTTAAAATAGTTAAAATATGCATATCCGTGTGCAATATATATGTCTGAGAAAACCATTCAGATCTGTATTAACTGATACAAAATCTAGAAAAGGAACCATACCTGTTAACCGTCTGCAGCAGGGCCATGAACAACAATATTTTCAAATTGGGCACCTACAGATGTGTACCAAAATCCATAGTTATTCACCTAACTCGGTGCCCTGATTTTCGGAAGTGCTGATCATTTGAAGTTCATGTGATTTATGTGCCTATTTTTAGTCATCCCAGGTTGAACATTTTGGCCTAGGATTTGTATAGTAATATACCGTGTGCATATATGACATCCAGGATTTCATAAACTATTACTACTTTTCTAAATACATTACCAAAGATTAACTGCCACAAGCTCCATCACAAATACAAATAAGATAAGGAAATAGAGACACAACTTTGGCACATTCCTATATTTATATTAAAATGTGACATTATTTGTGTTGGTCCTAGCTGTAGTGTTTGGGTTACTCTTCAGCACCTCAGTATGTTTTGTAATGTTATTACTGAAGTTCAACTTCTTTATGTGCAGAACTTAATTCCCTGTTTACTAATTCTAAACACTTTTAATGTCTAGGTTGGCTATCACAATTGCTTTGTCATTTTTATCATACTTCTCCAGAATGTTTAAGGAGATGTCTTAAGATGTGTATGATTGTTCTTTCATGAATGAATCCAAAATAGTCAGGGATTTCTCCCCTACCCCCTACCACCACTTTTTTTTTTTTTTTTTTTTAAGTTATTACTGCTTGTTTTAGATTACTGAAAAGAGCAGCTTTATCTGGGGGAAAAGATCAGGTATTTGAGACGTACAGATTATCTTTTCTCTATTGTTACTGGTGATAATTCTCAGGTATGTGAGAACATAGACAACTTTTCCATTGTTTTATTTCAAAAGTATGTATTGTGAATTGGCTACAACAGGCATAAGACTCATTTTGGGTAAGCAAGCTGTTGTGTATATAAATAATGCCTACAGTATTAGATGGACAAGAGACTATATATGGCATGTGCACAGCAAGGGTTTAAATAATGCTAGGACATTGAATGTATGAGGAAAAGAAACTAAACTCACAGCAAGGGATTAACAACAATACACTTAATATGCTTGCAAAAAAAGGTGTATTAAAAGCTGTGTGCACAGTGGGGACTTAAATGATTAAAAATAATAATACATGTGCCTGGGAAGTATTAAGTATACTATATGCAAAGAGTGGGGATTTGAATAATAATATTAATAATAGCATCTGCTCAAGCTGTAGTTGCTGGTGCTACAACCTAATTTTACTTTTCTAAATGAATTTGCTACGACCGAACCTAACGTTGCTTGTTGAGGATAATGACAGAGTTCTCCTTATACACACATGCATGCTCGTGCACACACATACACATTTCCATGGAAAACAACAAAGAAATTTAATGAAGGGCTGACTATATGCTTCTTTTTCTTCTGACTCTCTCTCACACACATACCCCGACTGTATATACAGGACTGTACCCCTCAGCACGTTGTACAAAGATGCTCCATAATTAATTGCTATGCTGGAATCTCCGAATGTCTTGTTGAATTAAGTTACATTGCTATTGGGTTACAGTTTTTGGTGGTTTATGGGGGGTTTAAAATAAGGGGCTAATTATAGCTGCCGTGTCATATACATACAAATAATTACAATTGCTCAGGGAAAAGTTTGAAACCGTATTTGAAAACACTATTTTTTTCCCCCTCTCTCAGTCTGAGGAGTAAAGAAATTCCACTGCTGAATGGCTGTTAGTATCTATTTTACAAGATTTACTCATTTTCAGGTACCTAATGTAGCTTCTAGCATGCATGCACAACAATACAATTTATATGGTAAATGGAACCAAATAATGGCTTCACTGAATGTTATGGCTGCACTGAAGGGAAATGTCACGGTAAATAGCTGCCAAATTATGGATCATGCCGAAGTGTCACAACTGCACTAAAGACAAATAGCACTAGAGGCTGTTGCCACTGTGACGCTTTTGAGTTATGAAGAAGAGGAGCAGTCTGATGTGAGGCTCTTTGTGTCCTCATTATAGCAAAGGGTTACTGCAGCAATGTACAAGAAAACCCAGTCCAATGTGGTGGTTAGTTATTAATCTGTCCCTTTCAGATCTAACAGCTGTGGCAAAACAGAAAATCTTTGCTTTGCGTTAACATAAGCACGCACAAAAACCTGCAGATTTTATGAATGTAAATGTGTATGGGAAATGACTGGTAATGGAAAAATGTAATAAAATAATCTAATCAAAGAATATTATTAAATTTAACATAGTATGTGTCTGAAAGGTTTAGTTGCTTCTTATGCAGATAGATGTGTGAAATATAAGCAATAATGCACTTTCTCTCTTTGTAAAGATATGCGTAGTAAGGACATTACCAACTAAATTGCTTCTTCTAAACTGAAGTGAGTCCCGGTTTCTTTCATTTTAATGGGAGGGTAATAAAGATGAAAGACTAACGTTTTAACTGATGGATCCCTTAAGCTAAAGAATAGAAATTTATTATGTTTTTAGGGGATATGCTAAATCCTGAAATGTGGGAGAGGGAGGAATCCCAGGTAAAATAAAATTAAACTAAAAAATAGCCTTATGTAATGTGTTTTTACAAATAGAAAAACTGTGCAGTTTTATTTAGATTAAACAGAAGGCTGTTTTCTCAATCAGACACAATCTCAAAAATATATTTGAAAAATTATTTGAAAATGGAAGGTCATGACTCAGCAAGGGGTCTGTTTTTCTTCAGATCATCGTTCAAACCCAGCCTGCAATGTTAAATGCAACGAGTTTGATGGTCTCAGCACCTTTTTTTGCAAACCATTGTACACACTACAAATGTACCATCCATAATTCAACACAGTTGTCAGTCTCGGTTTTAGAGAGGGGGCCCAGACTGAACAATCATGGTGGATAAATTATTTCTCAAGTCTAAGGAGAGTGGTCTTCCTTCCACATCAGGCTTAAGGTCATTGGCAGGGCAGTGAGTGAAAGGGGAGCTTGTATATTAACTCTAATGCACTACTAGTGTGTGGATAAATAGAGGGATTATACTAATTAATTACAATTATGTTAATTCTTTTGGGGAGAACAGCTGAAGAGGAGTAGTTTTGTTCTATATTTTTCTCCCTTACTTCTCTTTTTTCCCCTCATGTGTAAAAATAATAAACAGATGTCCCTATAGGTCATTTTTCTTATAACAGCATTAGTGCTTTCTATTTTCATCATCGCAAAAATCCACATCTCAGAGGATATCCAAAAGATTCTAAAATGGTTTTTAATCTGTGGCAATAACACATTCTGCTTAAAATTCTTATGCTGTGGTCTAAAGAAGGGAGAGGGAGAGAAAGATACCCTATCCAAAACTGGGTAGAACATCTTTGAAAGGCAATTAGGGTATCTAGAATTTATTTTACATATAGCGCAACGGCAAGGAGCTGCTTTTTATTAAATGAAAATCCTATGTTATATACTTCAGAAACATTCCAGTTAATGAGTGTGTAATGTCCTGAGCGTAACACAGAACTTCTTTTTGTGTTCACAACCATATGATGCTGGAAACTTGACAAATGATATCATTTAAGACATATGCCTGCCTTAGGGACCTGTTTTTTGGCTTCCTGTTTCTGGCTTTTATTTCAGTAACATTTGTAATTGCCACAGGATCTGTACCTGTGTAGTGTTTTAACCTTTTCACTTACCACTTCATGTTCACTGGATGTGGGTGGGTACTTTGCATCATAACTGATGAGAAGGAGTTGCTAATTTTTTCAA